ACCTGATTCTTAAAGGTGTCCACCCTTCTTCAGGCTGCACTGGTACTCAGGATTCTTTTGCCATTTTCAGAGTTTTTGATGCAGCTGGCAATCTGTTAGGAGCTCAGCCTGGCCAGACTGCAGTCTTCATCCATCAGCAAAGATGTGTTCAGGAATCTTGGCAAAAAGTAGCTGCTCAGGCACAAAGAAAACTTAAGTCCGTATGTATACTAGAAACTTAGAAACAGTGTGGAGGAAGGCACAGTTAATCTTAAGGGAGAATTTCTCCCAACCACAGCTTTCTATCTAGTGATGTGAAGAGCCACTTCCCAGGAATTGATCAACAAAGAAAGGTCAAGGGAGAGTCCAGAATCAGGAGAGACCTGTTTAAGATTTCCCAGAAAAATGGGTTCTCTTGCTGAGTATATGCTCTAATATAACACAGTGGTTCTCAGGCCTTTTGGTTTGTGGAAACCTCTGCAGTCTTACAGTGTTGAAGATGCCGAAGAGTTTTTTGTTTATGTAGGTTTTATACATTCATATTTCATTATAAATTAAGAGAGTTTAACAAAGTTATTAACCCATTTATAAGTAACAATAAACTTATGATAGAGCAAAAGGACTTTATGTAAAAGAATTTTATTCTACAGGAATAACTTAGTAGGGACATTCTTGCTGTTTTACACTTTTTGTGAATTGTTCATGTCTGGCTTTAGTAGACAGCTGGATTCTCACATCCGCTTGTGCTTCCCATTCTCTGTGATCTGTTGTTGGTAGAAATACATGAGGAAAGTTCAACTTTACATAGCCATGTAGCTTGAAAGAAGGTTTTTAATAGCCTTTTCCTTTTTGGGGGCGGGGTAGGTTGTTTGGGTTTTTTGTCACTACACCAAACCTTGAAATCAGGTTACTTACAGTGTGGATTCTGGAAATGTATCAGTGATCTTTGTGTATTCTGGTACATTAATATCCATTTTCTGCCTTGTACTTGAGATCACGTATGATTTTGTAGCATTATACATTGGTCATTAGAAAATATTTACTCAATGACTTACTAATATTCCCAAGTGTTGACACATTTTATTGTATAATTTCTAAAGATACTTTTCTCTCCTTTTTTGGCAGTACTGGAGATTGAAACTCAGGGGTTCACCCTAAACTGTATACCCAGGCTTTTTATTCTTTGAGACAAGCTCTTGCAAAATTCACTTTGCTTTTCAGGCTGGGCTTGAGCTTGTGCTCCTTCTGCCTTGGCTTCTCCAGTAGCTAAGAATACAGGTGTATACCACCATGCTGGGTTAAAGATCACATTTGTTCATATCACTATCAGCCTCATCAGAGAAATCTTTAAGTATTGGGAAACTGTTGAACATATGGTGGTAGGTACAAATACTTCATTGAAAGCTGGGCTGCTGTCATTTGTAACAAATATACTTGGTTTTTCTTGAAGTGACAGGCTCAGTTGATACAGTTTTGAAAAAAAAAGTTTGCTAGATATCCAGATCTGAATCACCATAGTTGATTATCAGATTTTCTTTTGGGTAAAAATAGTGGTCTGTCATCAAAGCAGTTAGTTTAATTCCTAGCTCATCTCCACAAGTGCTTTTCCTGGGCACATGCTAATACGGTATATATATTTAGAGATTGAATTATAATAAAATTTTACTTTCTTCCCATCCAAGTACTAACCAGGCCCGACCCTGCTTAGCTTCCGAGATCAGACGAGATCGGGCGCGTTCAGGGTGGTATGGCCGTAGACTAAATTTTACTTTCTTCAAGGGCATTCCTTTTGTTTTTCTTTGGTACTGGAGAATGGACCCAGGACCTTCTCACTGAGCTATGACCCCACATCCATGCCCTTATTTTGAGAGAGTATTTTGCTAAATTTCCCAGGCCAGGTTTGAACTTGTGATCCTTCTGCCTCAACGTTCTAGAGAGCTGGAATTAGAGCACGTGCCACCACACTCACCTGTAAGGACATTCTTAAGAGAAACTGGTCTGGTTGTTTGTTACTGTAATTACCTCATGGTGAGGAATGTAATCACTAATAATACAATTTGGGACTACTTTCTTGATTGATGCTAATGTGCCAAGAGCTTTACCCACCATTGAGTTTGAACCATTAGTGCAAGTGTTAACCTGGTAGAAAGACCAATAATGTTTTAGTAATACCCTAGAAATAGTTGTGGACTTTAAAAGCTTTACTTTCAGCTTTATCAGTTATCTTAAAAAGATTTATCCTGAAATTCATGTGTAAGAATTTACATTGAAGAATAATTTTTTAAAATAGTAAAATTCAGCTCTTACCCATCTTGCAAGATGGTGGGTGAAAAAACTGAGAAGCCAGACACTAAAGAGAAGAAACCCAACGCCAAGAAGGCTTCTGCCAGTGATACTGGTAAAAAGGGTAAGGTGAAGGCAAAAAAGTCCAAGAAGGGGCAGCCCCACTGCAGCCGAAATCCTGTCCTGGTTAGAAAAATTGGTAGATACTCCCGGTCTGCTATGTATTCCAGAAAGGCTTGGTACAAGAGAAAGTACACAGCTGCTAAACCAAAGGTTGAGAAGAAAAAGAAGGAGAAAGTTCTTGCTATGATTACAAAACCAGTCGGTTGGTGGTGACAAGAATGGAAGTATCTGAGTGGTTAAGCTTTGAAAACTGCCTAGATATTACCCTACTGAAGATGTGATCCGAAAGCTCTTGAGCCACGGCAAGAAACTCTGAAGTCAGCATGTGAGGAAACGTCAAGCTAGCATCACTCCTGGCACCATCTTGATCATCCTCACTGGGTATCACAGAGGCAAGAGAGTGGTCTTCCTGAAGCAGCTGGCCAATGGCTCGCTACTTGTGACTGGGCCTCTGAGCCTTAATCATGGTCCTCTATGAAGAACACACCAGAAATTTGTCACTGCCACCCCTACAAAAATTGATATCAGCAAAGCAAAAATCCCCAGACACCTCACTGATGCTTGTTTCAAGAAGAAGCAGCTGGGGAAACCCAGACACCAGGAGGGCGAGATCTTCGACACCAAGAAAGAGAGATACCAGATTTCAGAGCAGTGCAAGGTGGATCATAAAGTGGTGGACTCACAGAGTTTACCAAAAATCAAAGCTGTTCCTCAGCTCCGGGGCTACCTGTAATCCGTTTTTATTCTGACAAATGGAATTTATACTCATAAATTAGTGTTCTAAATTTCTTACTAAAAACATAATTAAATAACTGAAACATTTTAAAAAATAAAATAGTAAAATTCAGTTATAATGTAAATACATAAGAATAATCGGGAAAGTATGGTATGCCAATGGCAGAGCATAAATTGCAGTTAATTGAAATGATATTTGTGAGAATAAAGGTACAGAAAGGCAGGAAGATTAAAGTCTGAAGCTAGCCTAGGCAACTTAACAAGACTATTTCAAAATAAAATAGAAGGGTGGGGATGTACTCAGTACTCTCTAGGTTCAAGCCTCAGTACCACCAAAGAAAAGCAAAGGGAGAAATACACGCGTGCGCGCGCGCACACACACACACACACACACACACTAGTTTCTGTTAGCTCATTGAAAAGAGAGGCTTGTGCTGATTTTTTTGGATAATATTTCATGTCTATGTCAACTACTATGAACATTTAACAATATGTAATTATTAAGTATTGGTACTTTCTTACTAGCTTGTTTTTTTTTAATTTTTATTTATTTATTTATTTGTGTGTGTGTGTGTGTGTGTGTGTGGCCAGCTCAGCCCACCAGGGGGCGGGGCTGGCTGGCATGTGGTGCTGGGGGATTGAACCGGGGTCCCTGTGCTTTGCTGCAGCTTGTTCTAAGTAGGTGCTTTAGACCACTGAACCATCTCACCAGCCCACTAGCTTGTTTTAAAACTTGTTGTTTTTACTTTTTTCTGTTGAAAATAAATTTTTTTTTAAAAGAAAAGGGTAAAAAGTGAGAAAGTGTTGAGAAAGAAAATTAGTATATAAGGAAGGATTCATTTATGTGATAAAAGTACTGTATATACAGAGACATGCATCAAAAGAAATAGAGAAAAACACTAAAATGTTAATAATGATTACCTTGAGTGGTAGGAATAGAGGTGATTTTTCTTTTTATATTTGTTGTCCAGAGTGTTCTACAGTAAGAATATGCTGCCTTTTAAGGGAGGGTAGATGTTGGCTACAGTTTGAAATTCTTTTTTAAAATTTACACAGTAAAATTCACTCTGGTATACAGTTCTATGAATGATGACAAAGACATAAAGTTGTGTAACTACTATCACAGTCAAGATACAGAGCAGAGTTGTATTTTCTGGCATCATCTTCCATCGGTTACCGTAGGCTGCCACTCTCAGAGATGTGCAGAATGAAACTATGTTCTGTGTGTCTCTGTGCCTGGTAAGGAGTCAGTAGGTACTGAATGTTTAAATGTACAACAAAATTATGAGGACAGTTTCCCCAAAGAATATCAGAGAAAAATCTTGACACTCCTGCTGGAGTATTATGATGAGCTGTTTTATCTGTGAGGACTTGGGGAAGAAAGTTGTCATATATTCAATTCACTACTTCATTTAATTGGGTTAGGGAGCCAAGGACTTAACTCAGCAGGATAGCTCCTGCCCGGCAAGTGCGAGGTCATGGTTTGATACCCAGTACCAAAATTAAAAATAAATTCTCTTGTTAATTGGATCAGGGAGAAAGAATACCTCCAACACGAGCAACCATTGCAGTCTCAAGTAATTACACCAACTACTCCTATTTTCTAGAAATTAGACCTAGTTATTAAGTCACTTAAAGGGATACTTTTTCTTTCTCATATTCAAATATGCATCTATTTTTACCTATCCAGTTCCATTCTAGCTCATGGATAGAGTCATGCATGTACCACCATAATTAGGATATGAAACAATTCCATCCCATAAAAACTCTTTCCTCCTATTCCTTTATAATTTCATTCTTTATTCCCACTCCTAATTCTTTCAGCTCCTACTCTTGTCTCATCACTAGGAATTTGTCTTTTCATGTGTGGCTGTATCAGTTTATGGATCCATTTGCCCATTGAAGGATGTTTGGGTTATTCCTAGTTTGGGAGAATTAAAAATTCAGTTGTTATAAAAACTCGTATACAGGTTTATATGTGAACATAAATTTTCATTTCTCTAGGAGGAACATTCATGTGTAGGATTACTTGCTCAGAAGGGAAATATATGTTTCATCACTTAAGACATTGCCAACCTTTTTCAGAATGGTGGCATCAGTTTTCATTCCATGAACAGCATATGCACATTACAATTACTGAGTGTGCTCATGGGCACTTGGTATTAGTGGCATTTTTTTTGTGGCTGTTTTAATAGATGTGGAGTGCTGTCTCACTAGTTTTATTTTCTATTTGCCTGATAGCTAATGATGTTGAACATCTTTTCATGTGCTCACTTGCCATCTTTATGTCCTTTTGATGAAATGTCTCAAGTTTAACTATGTTTTTTATTTGAGTTGTTTGTTTTATACTGTTGGGTTTTCAGAGTTTTTTTAAAAATATATTTTGAATACAGATCCTTCACTGGACATGCAATTTGCAAATACTTTCTCCCATTGTATTACTTTCCTTATTCTCAGTGTATTTCAGAGTAGAACTTTCTAATTTTGGTTAAGTGGTGTATATTAATTATGTTGTTTCATAGATTGTGCTTTTCATCGGATGTTGAAAAACTCAGATTTTATTTATAAAGCTATGATCCATCTTGAGTTAGTTTTTGTCTCAGGTGTGAGGCTTAGGGCAAGGCTCATTTGTTTCTTTTGATCTATGTATATCCACTTGTTCTGATATTACTTAAAAGACCATCTTTCCTCTATTGCAGTGTTTTTGTACCATTGTTTAAAAAACCATTTAACAATTTGTGTAAGTCTGTTTCTGGATCCTTTATCCTCTTCCATTGATCTCTGTGCTTAACTCTTTGTTCTCTTCCATTGATCTCTGTGCTTACCTATTTTCTAGTACCACAGTCATGATTACTATAACTTCATGGTTAGTCTTACGTAGTCTGATTTCTCCTCCATTTTATTTTTTTGGAAAATGTTTTAGCTGTACTAGTTCTTTTGTATTTCTGTGTAAACTTTGGAATCTGCATGTCTTGATCAACAACAGCAAAATGTCTTGGTGTAGGATGTTTATTGAAGTTGTACTTTATATCTTTTTGAGAGAACTGACATCTTTATTATGTCAGCTCTATGGACACTATTTCTTCATTTACTTAGTTCATCTTTGATTTCTTTCATTAGCATTTTGTAGTTTTCTGCATGTAAGTTCTATGTGTATTTTGTTTGATTGATACCTAAGGAATAATTTTATCTTAAAGTTAGGTTTCCAATTGTATACTATAGAATATGGAAATGATATAATTTTTGTATTGGTGTTTCTGTAATTCAGAAAGTAGCAGGTAAATCATCTTTCTCAAAAAGGTTCTGAGGATTAATAAAACATTAAAAACAAAAAATAATTTGAATAAACGCATTATCAATATGCAGTTCTTGAAATAAATTTTGTAAACCTGTATTTATTGGCTCATATATGTGGCTACATAATACTGTCAAAGTTTTAAAATGACAGCTTATATGTGTAATGTCACATTTGTAAAATCCACATATTTATATAAATATGTATGTATGTATATCCTTAGAGAAATTCCACCTCTAACCCTGCAGTACCACGGATCAAACTCAGGACCTTGAGCTTGCTGAGCAAGCACTTATTCCACTGAGCTATCTCCCCGTCCCCTTAGAGAAATTTCTAAAAGAATGTTTAATATATGGCAAAAAACATATCTGACTGATTAAAGTGGTAGGTAATTTTTCTTTTTTTACATTGCTTTTCTCTAGTTGAATATTTCACAATAGATATATATTGTGTTATCTAAACAAAAAACTGCTTTATAAAGGAGACATAAAACAGTGAATTGTAATATTGTCCTTACCAGTGAATGAAGATCATGGAGATACAGTTCCTATTTTGGAATCAGGTACCTGCATAGTAGAAATCTTGATATTGCCTGACTCATTAACATTCTACATTTTTATATGGGAAACCAAAAAACTATGCTACACCATGGAGAATATTCTAAGAATGTCACATTTGGAATTTCTCTTTTCTCTGACTTTTTTTTTTTTGGTACTGGGGATCAAACACAGGACCTTACTTACACTTGCCAGGCAGGCACTTATGCTGCTGAGCTATCTCCCCGGTTCCCATCTCTGACATTTTTAAATTATATTTGTTTGTCTTCCAAGCAAAAGGGGTAGGTTTCAATCTTGGCTCCACGTTAGAATCATCTCAGCAGTTTTTTTTTTTTTTTTTTTTTTTGTAAACAATATCAATTTACTGGGCATCTGCTCCGGGGAGCCAAGGTTTATAGAGTTGTCGGCAGCACCCACTGCCACTCCATTAATGGAAGAACCACAGTCTGCAAGGACTCCCAAGCAGGCGGAGCGCCCGCAGTCCCAAAGCCGTGCTGTTCCATCTCGAGAGCCAGACACCACATTCCGCCCGCGGTCCACGATGGCCATATCCAGGATACCTCCTTTGTGCCCTTTGAAGGTCGCCACACAGGTAGCATCTTCCGCTGACCAAATCTTCAGCTGAGCATCCATTCCCCCACTCAGAACCACAAGGCCTGATGGGAAAAACCTACAACAATTCACATCAAATACATGTCCTTCCAACACTCTTCTGAGTTCTCCATTGGAAGCCTGCCAGATTTTCATGCTCCCATCAGAATTAGAAGACACACCAAGTCCTCCTCCACTGGAAATGTCCAGGCATGTTATACTCTTTGTATGAATCCTGGAAAAAATAGTATATGGTGCCAAAAACTTAGAAGATGCGTTTTCCTTTGGACACGAAACATGAATGCTTTTCTTATTTATTTCATTCACAACAAATCCTTCCGAAGCTGTAACCTCTGGGATGCCATCTAGTCCAATTCCTTGACAAGTTAGGCTGCCATACAAAGATGGTTTCCCTGGGGGGTGACAACTCAGCCAGGCCTCTCCTTCATCTTTCCTGAGGGCTTGGGCCCAGTCGCTCTGGATCCTCAGAGGCGCCGCCTCCACCCGCCCGCCTCTTCCGTTCCTTCCCTCAGCAGTTTTTTTTAAAAGATGATTTTGGGGGCTGGAGAGATGGCTCAGTGGTCTAAAGCACCTACTTAGAACAAGCTTGGCAAAGCACAGGGACCACGGTTCAATCCCCCAGCACCACATGCCAGCCAGCCCTGCCCCCTGGTGGGCTGAGCTGGCCACACACACACACACACACACACACACACACACACACACTAAATAAATAAATTTTTTAAAAATTAAATAAACAAATAAAAGATGATTTTGCCTTCTCTGGAGCATTCCAGATTAGAATTTCTGGGAGTGGGGACAGGATATCAGTTATTTTAAAAGTTGTTGCATATGATTATTAAATTCAGCACATCTTGATGAATTCTGTAAGGTATAAAAACTATTGGGCTAGGGGTATACTTTGGTGGTAGAGTACATACCTGACATGCACAGGACCCTGGGTTTGATTTTCAGAACAACAAAAAGCTTGGTTTTACCTTTTTCCATGAAATGAAAATTTAAAAATGATCTTTAAAAAACCCATTGAGTATTTTAAAATGTTATTTGTATTGACTACATGTGAAAATAAAGAAGTATGCGTGCTTTCACACTGTAGCAAGTTATGGACTTAGGAAGGAAATAAAACTTTTAAAGCAAAATGAGTTGTCCTGTGTCCAAAAATAATTTTAAAATAGCTCAAACCCTGTTAAACCTTTTAATACTTTCACATTTTTAGTGAAAATTTACCACCTTAAGACATTTCTTTGTATTTCTTTTTCACTCCTTGAAACACGGGTATGGTGTTGCCTTTTCATTTAATAGCACTCTTCCTGTAAGTCACACCATGACTAGGAAACTCTGCAGGATAATTAGCATTGCTCCAACTTCTCTCTGTTGTGGGTATGACTTACAAACTTAAATAAAGAGGATTTGTATATATGTGTCATCCCCCCTGTATCTTTTCTAGGAAAACTCCCATGTAATGATGTCACTGTATTATCTGATCCTGCGTATGCAGAGGAATCATGGTCTTTTCAACCCTTTAGAGGGGTTCTGAAAACTGAAATACTGTCACCACCCTCCCAGCCTTCCTTATGACTCATCACAGCCTTTTTTTTTTTAAAGTCTATTTTAAGGTAACCATCTGTAGGAAGTGCCTAGTTTTGCATAGACCTAACACTCTATGAGCATGGCCCCAAAGTCAAAATGGGACAGTCCATAGACTGTGCTTTGCATTTCCCAGTGTTCCTCATAGGAATCAGATAACAAAAAGGAGACTGTGAAATTTTTTCAGTAGCTATAAACTTGAGTGAAATATTGAACCATACCATCTTTTGAAATACTTTGAGCTTCTTCAAGGTTACTGTGAGAACTTCAGAACTCTTACAGACAACCTAGGCATGGTGTTGCAGGCCTGTAATCTCAGCCCTTGGGAGGCTGAGGCAGAATGATTGCTGTTAGTTTGAGGCCAGCCTGGCTACATAGTGAGTTTCAGGCAAGATGGAACTGTATAGTGTGACTCTGTGAAGGGAAAGGAATTAAGATATATTATGTCCATGTGCTAACTCCCCAGAAGGGATGTAAACATGTACCACAAATACGCACTGATAAATAAAAATATGCAGTTCATGGGAGAACTGTCAAAAAATTACAATGTGGTGTTTTACTTAAAGTATCTTCAAGAAAGAGACAAGTGAAATTAGAAGGAGAAGGTTCCAGTACGTTAATGCGCATTATATTATTACCCAGTATATTGCCATTTTCAGAGCATTTTCTTTCCTAATGCCTTCTTCACAATATTCTTGATGTATGCAGGACAGTGATTTCTGTATCTCCCAATCCAGGATGACAGAAGCCTGCAAAGTTTGGCACTTGGGATGTATGGTGCAGTAGTGTGTTCTTCTCACATTGCCTTTTGTTCCATTTCCTTTCTTTAATTTCATTCCTAGTCATCTCTGTGTTTTTCTATGATCTCTCTGACTTGATCATTTCCCACATCAGTTCATTTTCCATACTATTTCTAAGATTGTCTTTCCAAATCAAAGTAGAATGCCATCTTCCAGCTGAAAAACTTACCTTGTGGTTGCTTGCTTCTTGCAGATTAAAATTCAAAATCATGAAGCATGCTTTGGAACCCAGGCCAACCTTTCTACCTTCTTCTACAATATGAGAGAGTTTGGCATTCCTTAAAGAGCCTGTGTGCTTTGCTCTGTCTCTGTGCCTTTACTTCTACTGTCTTCTGCCTAGAACCTTACTCGGGAACTTATGACAAACACTTCCCTCCTTGTGCAATTGTCCTGCCTTCAGTGGCACCATCTGGAAAGCTTTTCCCACTATCTCTCCAGCACAGTGTCTTACTCTCCTTTGTACTTCAGTGACCCTTTACCGCCAAGATGATTGGCTGACTTCCTCATAGGCCACAAGCTGTGCTGCATAGTGGTGTGTTTAGCCTCACGTCACCTGAGCAAACTGTAGTGCCAGGAACTTGGTGGGCAAGACTTGTTTCAGCAAGTCTGATATTTGGAACCTTCAGAAAAGCTGTGGATACAACATTTATGTTTAATGGAATAGCCAATTCTTATATTTTATTGTTAATGATTCTACTACTAGTATATTTTTGAGAATGTCATCTTTTGTTTCTTTTGCTTGTTTATGTTACCAACGATTGAGCCCAGGAAGCACTGTACTACATTGCTGTGCCAAGCTCCTTTTTATTTTGAGATAGGGTTTTACTAAGTTGTCTAGACTGGCTTAGAATTTGGGATCCTCCTGCCTCACCCAAATAGCTGGAATTACAGTCATATACCACTATGCCCAGTTTAAAATACCATGTTCAATGTCTTGTTATCTAAACTTTAGTCTCCTAAATTACCTTTGGAATATTTAAGAAGTTATTAAATATTTTCACCTTAAGATATTTCTTTGTATTTCTTGTTTACTCCTTGAAACACAGGTATGGTGTTGCGCTTTCATTTAGTAGCACTCTTCCTGTAAGTCACACCATGACTAGGAAATTAGCTTTTGCTGGTTTGTATTCAGTCCTATTCATTCATTCATTCATTCATTCATTCATTCATTCATTCATTCTCTCCCCCATCTCTGTCTCTGTCTGTGTCTCTGTCTCAGCAGGGAATGGAACCTTGGAGCATTATGCGTACTAGGCAATCATTCTACCACTGAGTGACATCTGCAATCCTGTAAAGTCTCTTAAAACTGTACAGTCATAGCTTTCCTGTTGTCACCATAACTAAATATTCAAACATACGGTTTTGGGAAGCCCTTAGCACCACAGATATTTGGTTTTGTGTGCTTTTTACCTACCCCTAGTACGCAACAAGTTCCTCTTACGGAAAGAAGGGTGATGGGTCCTAGTTGGCTTCTGCTTCCTGTTGGAGTTATTACGTGTATGGATCATATCTTAATGATAATGACAATGTGTTAGGGAAAATCAGTATAAGTAGGAGAGTGACTAATAATAGAATGTGAAATTGAGACTGCTACTAGGGGCCTTGGTAAAGCTTTGCACATCTAGTCCTTTAACATTGCAACTTCCTTCCTCTTCAATATGTAATTAGTGATCGTGGTGCACCTAATGCGCTGGCAGAAGATAGTTCAGTAACAAAAGACTAAACATTTATAGAATGGTACAGCTTTGTTTTCAGGGAACCTCTCTTTTCCATCCGATTTCCAAATGGTCATTTTTCAATTTTTAGAAGGTAACTTGAGTATGTAACACAGAATTAAATGTTTGGCCAATCTTAATGCAGTATGTCATTCTGCAGTCTGAAGGTGGTAGTAAAAGTATTTTTGCAGGAATAAGCTAGTGCAAGGAAATGGGCAAGAATTTAGGTGACCTTTTTTTTATCAGACCATCTCTAGCAGTTGCAGAAGAGCTGTACCTTTTTTTTTTTGCTGTTGTCTTTCCTTTTTTTAAAAAAAAATTGGTAGAAATGCAGTTTGCCACACTTGGAACCTTATAAAATACAAAAAACAACCAGATAACAAACCAAAAAGAAATTATTGAACTCATGTGCTGGGGAAAACTCCGAGCAGAGTTTGCCCCCTTTGCCAGCGATGCCTCCTTCAAAATCTTAGGACACTTTCCCTATACCTCCATCTCCTTTGTTTCTGTTGAGGCCAAGAGTCAGGCACATGACTTTTTCTATTTGGCTTTACACTTAAAGTTGTCCTATAATTCCAGGACCATGTCTTGCCATGAGACCACTTATTATGACTTAGACTTGGCAGGCATTTATTTTATGTGAAGTCACAGTCACTAGAAGTATCTGAAGTTCCATTTCGGTATTTATAAGCATGTGCATTGTAAGAGCAACTCATTTTCACCTGACTCTTTGGTAATCCGAAGTTAATGTCTGATGTTCCTCGTGATGTTTATTTCATAGAAAAGATAAGCAGTTTGGAAAAAAAAATTAGGATTTGGTAATATTATTATTTTTTTTTCCGGAACCGGGGATTGAACTCAGGCCCTTGTGCTTGCCAGGCAGGCGCTTATTCTACTGAGCCATCTCCCCGGCCCCAAGATTTGGTAATATTAAAATGAATCAGTTGCATGTTTTTTGAAGTTTGAAGAACATTTATATTTGCTGAACTTCTAACGAACACATTTATGCTATGTAATTGTTGACCAAAGAATCTGTTTTAAGCCAAATTTTGACCTGTATAAATGATATCACACTGTTTGTGAAAATAGGTTCTAAGCAATCCTTATTTCCTTTTCTGTTGTGGAGCTGAATTCTCCCATCAAAGATTATATAAAACATATATTTTTGTATATTCTTATAAAATTTGGCTTAGGATCTTGGAGGTTTAAAATTTGATCAAGGTGGTTACATACACACACACACACACACACGCACGCACACACACAGAGTTTTTTAAAGTCAGGAATCATGCATTTTCCTCTAAAGTAGACAATCAAAATAAGCAGTTTGAAGAGATGGATTTAAGACAGCAAAATTGTTGTATCTTCAGCTGTGTAAAAGAAGCACCGTACCTTGGACC